ATTTCTGATGAAGGGTCTAGGCCCGAAACGTCAGCCTTCCTGCTCCTATGATGCTGCTTGGCCTGCTGTGTTCATCCAGCTCTACACCTTGTTATCTCATGTATCTTGGTTTGTTTGTCCAATGATCTGGAGACTGGAAGATTTGGCCCAATGTCTCTGCTAGGTATGTACTTTCCAGAATATGTCGTGCTGTTCTTTCTACTTGAATCTGCAACATTTCACAGTCTGTACCAGCATCACCTTCCTTCAGCTCTCCGTGTCATTGATGTACATCTGCTGCCCTTGCTAGTATTTCACTTCCCAGTGATATCTCTGCAAATAAAGTTACATCCTCTGCAAACACTTTGGAGGGGATCGAAGTGGTTTGAGAAAGATGCTATGAATTGTCTTGTGGTCAGAATCCACCATCACTTTCTCTCTCCAAACAGGGTACTAGTTGAAAAGTTTACAATCAAAGACAACAGTCAAGATTTCTCAATCTGTGTACAGCGTTGTTCAGTTTGTGTTAGCGCTCTGGACACATACACAACGGGTTGCCCTCACTGCATGGGGGTTCTTCAAATTCTGCTCCAATGGCATCACTGAGTGAAATCTAGCCAAGAACATGGTTGGGTAGTTCCTGTGTGGGTTTGTTGATGATCAAGGAGGTCCAACATTGATATAATATTTTTCTGAAACATCGAATACCCTTGAATATTGAGTTCTCCGCCTTTGTCACAGGCAGATTCAACTCAGGTATTCAAGACGGTATTGGATGATTACTTTACCCAGTCTTCCTTTGGATACACATGGTGCAGTCTGTGGTGACAAGTTTCTTTATTGAGTATATATTCACATATACATGTGTGTATATGGAGCTGCGACAAGTAAGCCCACAAAACTGACAGTTGACTTTCCTGTGTGATAAAGGTTTGTCCTCAGGTAGTCAAACTGCTGAATAAGACCTTTTCATAACCTCAGAGGTTGACCAGACCACTTCCCCCTGACAATCTCACTGACCCCTTCAAACTCCTCATGTTTAAGGTGTGAAGTGTGTCACTCAGACTGATGCTCGTACTCCCTTCAGGTTGTCTGACACATATTTTAATCCAATCTCTTCTCATCTGTTTCAGAGATAGTAGGAACCTTCTCATCTGTGGTTGTTGCCAGGCTGTTGTATTCGTCTTTACCCCTGTCCAGTTTGTTAATTTCTCCCACATTAAACAGGTTTATCAGAGTTCAACCTCTGCTTAGAAAAAATCAACTTCAGCATTTATTATCCAAGGCCTTCTTAAAGGTAAATAGTCTCAGTTCTCATCTTGTCAGGCCCGCAGTAGGAAAGTAATAAGTTCTTGCAGATGTTTAAAGCAGAAAAACACATTGTTTTGACCCTTGTCCACTAAGTAATGATCTCAAGGCCATGCATTGTAGATTTCTCCAGTCACTGGTGCCTTCCTCTCTTCAACCAGCATTTTGTCCATCCCTCACACACAGGATTGTCAAGAGCCATTTACAATTGAGTACAAAATCCATGACAAAATTAATTAAGCAATAGTACACAAATTACTAAGACTAAGAACTGCATGGACAAAAATACGAGGCAAAGGAACTTAACATATCTTAATTCTTATAAAATTATCCAAGAGCTGTTTTACACACTGCATTGATCATGAAACTTCCAAAAATGGGTCACACAGAATGTTTTGCAAGGTTTGCTTTTGTAAACAACGATGAGTGCACAGGTACTAGCCAAGCATTTAGCTTAGTTTGCAGTTTATCACTGTAATCCTGCTGAAATTGACAGTAACTGGAAATTTAAGTATCAGTTATGATAAATGTAAATTGACCTTTCATGATCTTTTAACACTGTTTTTTAAAATATCAGCCAGTAAGCTAGTATCAACCATAGAAATGATCAAATCCCCCAGATGGGAATAATGAGATCGGTGAGTTACTGCTGATTGAGCCTATCTGAAGCAACTCTTCAAAAAGTCTTAGGGTTTTTAGGTGTTCAGGCATCAACAATCAATCATATTCATAGCTCCAGTCCACATGCTGTGACCATCAATTATTTTGGCAAAGTACAGGCCCACAGATTATAATTTATTTCAGTTGTGTCCCAGCAGGAGAAATAGATAAAAATAATTTTATGTTATCACAATTACTTTGTTACCTGACTAATAGTATGTATTTTCTGCTATTTTTGATTTATGATAGTTTAAAATGGTGCATTCTCTCTCTTCCCTCTCAGCTTTATAACACAGCAGGAACATAGATTCGAGAGAAAGACTGGGGAAGATAGCACTGAGGAGGAAGGAGATGTAGGCAACAGGGCAAGGTGGAATGCAAGAGTGCAGAATTAGGTAGGAGAGACAGGAGGTCGAGCAGAAAAACAAAAGAGAGTAAACTACTCACATTCCTCTCATCTCCAAATCACTCTCCTGTCTCCCACTCTCATGTGCTGATCCCACCACTTCACATCATCACTACCTTGGATGCTATGGGTCTTCTTCTGACCTACTGTCAAACACATCTGAGGACACATCCCACACTGATGTGTGGGTTTGAAAGCCTCTGAGGATGAAGAATGCAGTTCCCTCACTAGATATCTCTGTCAAACATTTACCAGGGGAACTGAGACAGCAGCTGCAATAAGTGAGGTTTTATTCAGATGGGACAATGACAAGTTTAAATTCCCACCTTATCTGCAGCTCACCAGCCAGTTTCCTAATCCTTAAGAAATAATCTTCCTTGCAAGTATTTGAAGTGTTTGAATTTTAAAGAATGTTTCAAGTGGTGTTTAAAATGGCTGCAGCCGTCAAATATCCAATGAAATTTGTTGACAACAGAGATGACATTAACATACAAGCCACTATGCATGAGGGTTATTTATCTGAACATCCACCTTTCATTAGATTAAAAACCATGATGTATGCACTATTATTTGGAAGTTACTACACATGCTGGTCCAAACAGAAATTCTTCACACATCAACAAAAGAAAAGCACATTTCCTCTCTCTAATCCGTTCCAATTTTATCTATTCCCACATACACATTGCACATGATCTTTAGGGCTTCAGGTTTCCTTTTGGTATGCGTGTGAATTGTTATGGGCTGCTCATTATGGGGTCTGTTGTTTCCCTAGGGCATTTTGCCATGACAAATGTAGTCGTTATGGTAATTGTTATTGCTGATCCATGGCATTTTTCGGGAAATGTTGATCTCTGAGGCTGATGGGTATCTAGTTCTAACCTGATGAAATCATCCTCATCGACTATGAAGGAGCAACTTCTCGAATGTACATGGATGTCCAGGGTTCACTTTCATCATGTGATCAAAGTAATAACTTCTATAAACAAGTCCAGTGAATCTTGTTGAATTTTTGAAGATATTTTGGTAATTCTCATCAATGCCTCTCCCTTTCCATTTGACTGGGATAGTGTGCAGATGATGTGTAGTGTTGAATTTTCCAAATAATTCATGAAGTGTCTGAATTTTTCATTCATGAATTGAAGTCATTGTCACTGATCACAATGTCAAGAATGTCATGACAACAGAAGTGTGCGTTCAGAGATTCTACATCTCACTGGGAGTTGTTAGGTCCCGTCATCTCAATGTGACTACTGTGATGAGAAAATCAGTTCCAGTGACAGTGAACAGCTGTACTCCAAGCTTCATCGCTGGGCTGTCTGGGATGTCAGGAGTCATGAGCAGCTCTTTATCTTGTTTCAGAGATAGTAGGCTTTATCTTGTTTAGTTTGAAGTTCATCACAAGCACTGCACTGGCTGTTTTGGTCCTTCATCTCATTGCTTATGTTTGGCCAGTACAGCACTTCCCTTACCTTCCTCTGACTATACCTGGTTTGTTAATGGTTTGTGTGGGATATGCTTCAACATCTCTTTTCTCATCTCGTTAGTAATAATGACCCTGGTCACTTAGTGCACAGGCCAGGCAGCAGTGAAGACAATCAGTGCAGGAATCGACATAGAGATGGATGGTGGCGGGAATTAATCAAGTCAGGGCTGGGGTAGGTGGTCTGTGGGAATTAGTCAGGTCAGTTGGGAGATTGTCAGGAGGTGGGGGTGGGGGGGGTGTGGTTTCTCAGTTCACTTTGAGGCCGAGGGGAGAATGGTCCGGCCAGTGTGACTGATGGCGGAGGTTGTGTGGGTATCAAATGTATGTTTACCTAAAAGGTAGACAAGTTTTATTTCCTATCTAGCATTTGCTGGGTAATTGAAATAAAAACAGTGAGTGCTGGAAACAGCAGTCTGGCAGCTTCTGTGTAGAGTGAAACAGAGTTAACGTTTTGAATCCAATAGAACTCTTCCCGAAACATTAAGTTGACCTGTTAACTCGGTTTCATTCTGCACAGATGCTATATGTTCTGCTGTGTATCTCCAGCACTTTCTGCTTTTATTTCAGATTTCCAACATCCGCAGTGCTTTGCCCTTATTTCCTGGGTAACTATTTAGGTTTCTTCCCAATGTAAATACACCGATGGACCAGGATCTTCACTGACCCTGTGAAAGCCTTTGCACAAACATCACACATGAAGAGTTTCTCTCCTGTCTGAATCCTGGAGCATTCCAAATGTTTAAACACATCAATGAAGGTTCATCACAATCTCAGAACTAAAAGAATACTCTCCTGTGTGAAACTTTTGATGGAGCTGAAGACTTGATGAATCCGAGAATGATTTACCACACACGTTGCACGTGAAACATTTCTCCCTAGTGTGAATACGTTGGTGTTTGCGGAGGTGTGATGACCTCGAGAATGACTTGTCACATATGTCACACGTGAATGGTTTCTCCCCTGTGTGAATGCGTTGATGTACGCAGAAGCTTGATAAATCTGAGAAGGACTTGTTGCACACCTCACATGTGAATGGCTTTTCTCCTGTGTGGATTCGTTGGTGTACACGGAGGGTTGATGATCGTGAGAATGATTTGTCACACACGTCGCACGTGAATGGTTTCTCCCCAGTGTGAATACGTTGATGTCTGCGAAGGGTCAATGACTCTGAGAATGATTTGTTACACACCTCACATGTGAAAGGTTTCTCCCCTGTATGTATCCTCTGATGGTGCAGGAGACTTGATGAAACTGAGAATGATTTGTCACACACCACACATAAGAATGGTTTCTCCCCAGTGTGGACAGGTTGGTGTCTGCGAAGGTGTGAAGAAGTCAAAAATGATTTGTCACACAGCTCGCATGTGAATGGTTTCGTCCCAGTGTGAATGAGTTGGTGTCTGCGAAGAGTTGACAAGTCTGAGAATGATTTGTCACATACTTCACAAGTGAATGGTTTTTCCCCTGTGTGAATGCGTTGGTGTACACGGAGAGTCGAAGTCTGTGAGAATGACTTGTCACACACCTCACACACAAAAGGTTTCTCTCCTGTGTGAATGCGTTCATGTCTGCGAAGAGTTGATGTCTCTGAGAATGATTTATCACACACCTCGCACACAAAAGGTTTCTCTCCCGTGTGAATGCGTTGGTGTACGTGGAGGGTCGATGCCTCTGAGAATGATTTATCACACACCTCGCACTTGAAAGGTTTCTCCCCTGTGTGGATCCTCTGATGCAGCAGGAGACTTGAAGAATCCGAGAATGATTTTTCACACACTACACATGTGAATGGTTTTACCCCGGTGTGAATAGGTTGGTGTCTGCGGAGATGTGAAGAATTTGAAAATGATTTATCACACACCTCACATTTGAATGGTTTCTCCCCTGTATGAATGCGTTGGTGTCTGCGCAGGGTTGATAAGTCTGAGAATGATTTATCACACACCTCACAAGTGAACGGTTTCTCTCCTGTGTGAATACGTTGATGCACGCGCAGAGTCGATGTCTGCGAGAACGATTTGTCACACACCTCGCACGTGAAGGGTTTCTCCCCAGTGTGAATGCGTTGGTGTCTGCGAAGAGTTGATGACTCTGAGAATGATTTGTCACACACCTCACACGTGAAGGGTTTCTCCCCGGTGTGAATGCGCTGGTGAACACGGAGGGATGACGACTCTGAGAATGCTTTGTCACACACCTCGCAGGTAAACGGTTTCTCCCCTGTGTGAATGAGCCAGTGTTTCACCAGACTTGACAATTGTGTAAAGCCCCTGTTACACACCTCACATACAAATGGTTTCTCACCAGTGTGAATACGCCGGTGACTCACCAGCGTTGATGACTTTGCAAAACCTCGTTCGCAGACCTCACACTTGTATTGTTTCACTTCCATGAAGTTGCCCTTATTTTAATAGTTGTACAACTGTTTTGTTGTATGTGGATTGCGATTTGCTTCGCCTGTGGGGTCCACCTCACATTTGAACAGTCTCTGACTTGTAGGAATGAGTCAGTGGTTCATGAAGCTCGATGAATGATTGAAGCTCTCACCACACTTGGAGCCACTCACCCTTCTTCCCAGCCTCACCCTGACCAAACACCCACAGCTGAACCTTCAGAAAGGCTCGTTCTGATGGAAGGCTCCACACCACCGACCAGTTTCAGATCTGATGATATGTCAAAGTTTCCCTGACCCGACCGATTTCCAGATGATGGTTTCACTGACTAACCTTCTCTGTGTTGAGCAATGCTGTGAAGGGACTGGATGTCTTCCCACAATTGTGCAGTTGTTCCATTGGGTGATGGTCAGCATCTATCTGCAGTGTCTATCCTCTCTATATTCTCTGGTGTAGTGCGGTATAATCCTTCTGTAAAACAGGAAAAGGAAACATGATTTCCTCCAACTCCCTCTCCTCCTTTGCTGAAAGAGGTGACCCCTCAGTAAGAGACTGTTCCACAGTGAGTGCCAGTCTGTTGTTCCTTATGTGGGAGGGGATAAGATACAAGTCTTTTCTTTTTCCTCACTTGACTGTCACACACCCTCTGTTTCCAGCAGGGACACTGGATAGTGACCAGGAGCAGACAATGTGGCTACTTTCGTTCCTCAGCCCAGACCCCCATCTTCCCAGGCACCATGAGGGCAATGGGAAAGACAGTCGGGTGGAGTGTAAAATGAGCTGTCAATTCACTATGTGCTCAAGTCATGTAGCTAGTGTTGCACTTAAATTATGTGTTCAACCTAAACACAAACTCAAGAAAAGTGCCAATTCCTTGGAGATCTGATTCACTCACAGGATGCAGCACCTCTGCCTCGGCTGTCATATGTACACCTCTATCAAGTCACCTCTCATCGTTCATCGTTCTAAAGAGAAAAGCCCGAGCTCTCTCAACCTTTCCTCGTAAGACCTTCCCTCCATTCCAGGCGACATCTTGGTAAATCTCCTCTGCACCTTTTCCAACGCCTCCAAATCTTTCCTGTAATGAGGCGACCAGAACTGGACACAATACTCCAGATGTGGCCGAACCAGGCTTTTATATCGCTGGAGCATAACTTCATGGCTCTTGAACTCGATCCCTCTATTAATGAAAGCTAACACACCATACGCCTTCTTAACAACTCTATCCACCTGGGTGGCGGCCTTCAGGGAACTGTGAACATGAACCCCAAGATCCCTCTGCTCCTCCACACTGCCAAGAATCTTTCCGTTAACCCTGTATTCTGCTTTCAAGTTTGTCCCTCCAAGATGAATCACCTCACACTTTTCAGGGTTAAACTCCATCTGCCACTTCTCAGCCCAGCTCTGCATCCTATCAATGTCCCTTTGTAACCTAGAACAGCCCTCCGCACTGTCCACAACGCGACCCACCTTCGTATCGTCCGCAAACTTGCTAATCCACCCTTCCACTCCTTCGTCCAAATCATTTACAAAAATCACAAATAGAAGAGGACCCAGGACAGATCCTTGTGGTACACCACTTGTAACTGAGCACCATGTTGAATATTTTCTGTCCACTACCACCCTTTGTCTTCTAAGGGTCAGCCAATTCTGAATCCAATCTGCCACATTTCCCCCTGTCCCATGCCTCCTTACTTTCTGCATGAGCCTACCAAGGGGAATCTTATCAAACGCTTTACTTAAATCCAGGTATAATACATCCACTGTTCTACCTTCATCCACGTGTTTGGTCACCTCTTCAAAGAATTCAATAAGGTTTGTGAGACATGATCTACCCCTCACAAATCCATGCTGACTACCACAAATTAAACTGTGCCTTTCCAAGTGATCATAAATCCTATGTCTCAGAGCCCTTTCCAATATTTGCCCACCACTGATGTAAGACGAACTGGCCTCAAAATTCCCAGCACATCTTCCTTACTAACAGCGACCTCCCCTAGCCTACCAGCCTGTTTCACACTGTCCTCCTCTACAACTGGGTCCCTCTCAGTTGTGAATACCTAAGAAAAGTATCCATTAAGGACCTCTCCTATCTCTCTAGGCTCCGTGCACAAATTCCCTTTACAATCCTTGATCGAGCCTACCCTTTCTCTGGTCATTCTGTTATTCCTCACGTACGTGTAAAAAGCCTTGGAGTTTTCCTTGATCCTAGCTGCCAAGGTTTTCTCATGCCTCCTTAGAGCTCTCTTCAGCTCCTTCCTGGATAACTTGTATCCCTCTAGAGTCTTTTCCTTTCCTTGTTTCCTAAACCTTACATAAGCATCCTTCTTCCTCTTAACCAGTTCGTTCGACCTCTCTTGAGAACCAAGGTGCCCTCACTCGACCGCAAATTCCCTGCTTGCTAGGGACAAACATATCAAGCAGACGCAGTATGCATTCAAAGAACAAAGAAAAAAGAACAAAGAAAATTACAGCACAGGAACAGGCCCTTCCGCCCTCCAAGCCTGCGCCGATCCAGATCCTCTATCTAAACCTGTTGCCTATTTTCCAAGGATCTGTATCCCTCTGCTCCCTGCCCATTCATGTATCTGTCTAGATACATCTTTAATGACGCTATCGTGCCCGCCTCTACCACCTCCGCTGGCAACGCGTTCCAGGCACCCACAACCCCCTGCGTAAAGAATTTTCCATGCATTTCTCCCTTAAACTTTTCCCCTCTCACCTTGAAATCGTGACCCCTAGTAATGGAGTCCCCCACTCTGGGAACAAGTTTCTTGCTATCCACCCTGTCTATATCTCTCATGATTTTGTAGACCTCAATCAGGTCCCCCCTCAACCTCCATCTTTCTAATGTAAATAATCCTAATCTACTCAACCTCTCTTCATAGCTAGCACCCTCCATACCAGGCAACATCCTGGTGAACCTCCTCTGCACCCTCTCCAAAGCATCCACATCCTTTTGGTAATGTGGCGACCAGAACTGTACGCAGTATTCCAAATGTGGTCGAACCAAAGTCCTATACAACTGTAACATGACCTGCCAACTCTTATACTCAGTATCCTGTCTGATGAATGAAAGCATGCCATATGCCTTCTTGACCACTCTATCCACCTGCGTTGCCACCTTCAGGGTACAATGGACCTGAACATCCAGATCTCTCTGTGCATCAATTTTCCCCAGGGCTTTTCCATTTACTGTTCCTTAAACAATCTCCACATTTCAATAGTGCTCTTCCCTGACAGCATCTGTTCCCAATTTATGTTACCCAGTTCTTGCCTAACAGAACTGTAATTACCCTTCCCCCAATTATAAACCTTACCCTGCTGTATGTACCTATCCTTTTCCATGATTATTGTAAAAGTAACAGAGTTATGATCGCTACTGCCAAAATGCTCTCCTACCAACAGGTCTAACACTTGGCCCGGTTCATTGCCAAGCACCAAATCCAAAGTGGCCTCTCCTCATGTTGGTCTGTCTACATACTGTGTCAGGAATCCTTCCTGAACGCACTGGACAAAATCCGCTCCATCTAAACTATTACAACTAAAATGTTTCCAATCAATATTTGGAAAGTTGAAGTCACCCATGACTGCAATCCTGTGACTTCTGCACCTTTCCAGTATCGCCTCCCAATCCGCTCCTCTCCTTCTCTGCAACTATTAGGGGGTCTGTTAAAAACCCACAACAAAGTGACTGCTCCTTTCTTGTTCTGGACCTCAACCCAAACTGACTCTGTAGACATATCATTCTCGAACTGCCTTTCAGTAGCTGCTATACTAGCCCTGACTAGCAATGCCACTCCCCCGCCTCTTTTTCCACTCTCCCTATTTCTTTTAAAGCAGCTAAATCCCGGAACTTCCAACAACCATTCCTGTCCCTGAGTTATCCAAGTTTCTGTAATGGCCACAACATTGTAGTTCCAAGTACCGACCCATGCTCTAAGTTCATCCGCCTTATTTCTGATACTTCTAGCATTGAAGTATACACACCTCAAACCATCTCTGTGTCCACAATTACGCTCCATCGACCGCATTTCTTTATAAACAACCTTACTCCCTGTTGTGTCTGTTGGAAGGCTGAATACCTCATCCTCTGAATTATAAATCCGGTTCCCCATCCCCTGCCAATCTAGTTTAAACCATACCATATAGCTCGAGCAAACCTCCGTCCAGGATATTTGTGCCCTTCCGGTTCAGGTGCAACCAGTCCTTACTGTAAAGGTCCCACCTTCCCCAGAATGTGCTCCAATTATCCACATAATGGAAGCCCTCCCTCCTACACCAGCCCTGTAGCCACATGTTTAGCTGCACTCTCTCCCTATTTCTTACCTCGTTATCATGTGATCAGAGGTATAGATAGAGCGGACAGCCAGAGACTTTTTCCTCGGGTGGAAGTAGCTATTACGAGGGGACATAGTTTTAAAGTGAGTAGAGGTAGGTTCTTTACTCAGAGTGGTAGGGGTGTGGAATGCATTGCCAGAGAGGGTAGTGGAGTCGGCCTCATTGGGGGCATTTAAGCGGCTATTAGATAGGCATATGGATGATAGTATAAGGTAGGGGTGGAGGTTAGATAGACCTTAAGATTAGGGTAAGAGTTCAGCACAACATCGTGGGCCGAAGGGCCTGTACTGTGCTGTACTGTTCTATATGTTGCCCATCCCTAACTGCCCAGAATTTAGCAGAATGAGTCCTTATAGAAATAGAGAAAATAGGTACGGGGTGAGCCAGTTGGCCCTTTGAGTCTACTCTGCCATTTGATATGATTATGGCCAATCATCTGACTCAGTGCTCTGTTCTTACCTTCTCCTTATACCCTTTGACCCCTATAGCCACAAGAACTATACTGACTCCTTTTTGAAAACATTCAATGTTTTGGCCTCAACTACTTTCTGTGGCAGAGAATTCCACAGGCTCACCAGACTCTCTCGAAGATATTTCTCCTCATCTCAGTCCTAAATGGGCTATACCACTTAACCCCTGGTTCTGGACTGTCTGACGATTGGGAATATCCTTCCTGCATTTACCCTGTTTTGCCTTTAATTTTTTAGGTTTCTCTGAGATTTCCCTGTCATTCTTCTCAACTCCGGTGAACACAGTCTTTACTGATCCAGTTTGTCTTCACATGTCAGTGCCATCATCTCAGAAATCAGTGTGGTAAACATTTGTTGCACTCATCCATAGCCAGAACATCCTTCCTCGGATGAGGAGACCAAAACTGCACACAATACTCCAGGTGTGGTCTCATCAAGACCTTGTACAATTGCAGCAAGACATCCCTGCTCCTGTACTCAAATCGTCTTGCTATGAAGGTCAGTACATCATTTGCCTTCTTCACCACCTGCGGCACCTGCATGCTTACTTTCAGTGACTGGTGTCGAAGAACATCTAGGTCTCATTGCACCTCCCCCTTTCCCAGTCTATCACCATTCAGATAACAACCGACCTTCATCCAAAACTTACCTCATCTGCCATGCATTTGCCCAATCAACTTGTCCAAATCACACTAAAACATCTCTGCGTCCTCCTTGGAGTTCACCCTCTCACCTAGCTTTACGTTGTCTGCAAACTTTAAGATATAACATTTAGTTTCCTCATCCAAATCATTAGTACATGTTGTGAATAGGTGGAATCCGAGCACTAAACCCGATAGTACCTCACTGGTCACTGGCTGCCACTCAGAAAATGACCCATTAATTCCTACTGTTTGTTTCCCATTTGACAGTTCTGTGTCCATTTCAGTACATTATCCCCAATCCCATCCACTTTATGTCGACATGCTAATCCCTCATGTGGGACCCAATCGATTGCCTTCTGCAAATCAAAGTAAACCACACCCACTGGCAACTCCTTATCAACTTTACCAGTTACAGTCTTGAAAAATTTCAATAGATTTTTCAAGCATGATTTCCATTTTGCATATCCATATTGAATTTGTCCAATCCTGTCACAGTTTTCCACGTGCTCTGCTATTTTCTTTATGATGGACTCTAGCATTTCCCTATTACCAATGTCAGATTGACCCGAAAATTCCCTGTTTTCTCTCTACCTCCTCTTTTACCTTAGGGTTTGATTAGCTACTGTCCAATCACTAGGAACTGTTCCAGAGTCTCGAAAGATGAAAACCAATGTATCCACTTCCAGGACCACTTTCTTAAGTACTCTGTGATGTAGATTGTTGGGCCCTGGGGACGTGTTAATCCCATCAACTTCCCCAACACCATTTCCAAACTAATACTGATTTCCTTCAGTTCCTCTCTCTCTCACTCAACTATGTGTTCCCTTACATTTTTATGATATTATTTGTGTCCATTGTGATCAGAACCAAAATATATATTGGCCTGTCATCTCTGTCCCCCATTATAACATCCCCTGTTTCTTATGATTTGTCTTCACTAATCTTTTTCTCTTCAAATGCCTCAAGAAGCTTTTAAAATTAGTTTATACGTTCCCTGCAAGCTTACTCTCATATTCTATTTTTTCTGTGAATCAATCTCTTTGATTTCCTTTGCCGAAATCAAAACTGCTCCCAATCCTCAGGTCTGCTTTTATTAGCCGATTTGTAAACCCCTTCCTTGGATCTAATACGATCCCTAATTTCCCTTGCTAGCCATGGCCAGGCCATCTTTCCCATTTTGTGTCAGACAGGAATGAACAATTATTGCAGTTCCTCTTTAAATGTTTGCCACTGTCGATCCACTGTTATCTCTTTAAATAACACTCACCAATTTATCATAGCCAACTCATGCCTCATGCCATCCTAGTTTCCTCTATTTAGATTCAGGACTCTACTCTCGGAATCAATTGTGTCACTTTCCATCTTAATGAAGCATTGTATCATATTAAGGTCATTCTTCCTCAGCGAGACTACCAATTATCCCTTTCTTATTTCACAATATCCAGTCTTGGATGGCCTGTCCTCTAGTTGGTTCCTCAATGTTTTGATCTCGAAAGCCATCTTGTACATACTCTTGGAATTCATCTTCCACAGCCCTGTTACTGATTTGATTTGTCCAATTTATAGGCAAATTAAACTCACCCATCATGGCAGCTACACCCTTGTTGCTTGTGGCTCTAATTTCATACTTAATTCCTTCCCTGACATTCCCACTACAGTTCAGGGGTCTACATACAACCCCACTATCATTTTCTGCGCCATGGGTTTCTATACAGATTTCAGTTCACTGGAGCTAATATATTTCATCACTACTGCATCAATGGTCTCTTCATCCAACAATGCTGCCCCACCTCTTTTTCCTCTTGTCTGTCCTTCCTAAAAACCGAATACCTCAGATATTCAATTCCCACCCTTGATTGCCCCGCAGCCATATCTCTATAATCCCAACTATATCATACCCGTTTGTATCTATTCACATGACAAATTCATCCACTTCATTGAGAATGCATCAAGCATTTATAATACCTTAAGTTTTGCCTTCCCAACATTTTTAAACCTGTTCCCATTATTCAGCACTGTAGCTTGAATTCTCTGCCTATCACTTTTCATATTTCCAATTCTGTCTTTTGTTTTTACCTATCTTTACCTCTCTATTGTCTCCTTGTAGAGATTCCTATCCCTCTGCCATTTTAGTTTAAACCCATGCCAACTGCACTCACAAATATATCCTTCAGAAATATATTTGAGGAAAACAAACTGGGCAGGGAGTGCGAGAAGCTAAGGAAGATAGTGCTTTGATGTAGCTATTTGAAGGGTTTTAGCTTATCCTGGGAAATTAAATACAATACACTCACTCTAAATTCAGCTATCAACTACAGCACTGGGGAAAAAAAAAACATCAATCTAGCACAGGCTTTTGAGAAAAGATGAGGACTTCAGGTAAAAATTTTAAACAAGGAATGAAAATACAATTTCAAGAAATGTGTCTTCAGGAAACGATTAACAATCTAGACATTCAAAACCTGCTGCCTGTACCCTGACTTCCAATGTGTCCCGTTCACTCATCACCTTTGTGTTTGCTGACTTTTCTTTGCTCATAGTCTGAAAACATCTTGGTTTTAAAATTCTCATCCTTGTTTTTAAATTCCTCCTTGGCCTCACTCCAGATCCTTCAGCATGATCTCGACGGTTTGGGTGAGTGGGCAAATCAATGGCAGATGCAGTATAATTTGGATAAATGTGAAGTTATTTACTTTGGAAGCAAAAACAAGAAGGCAGAATACCACCTGAATGGCTGTACATTGGGAGAGGCGAGTGTGCAGCGGGACCTGGGTGTCCTTGTGCACCAGTTGCTGAAGGTAAGCATGCAGGTGCAGTAGCCAATAAAGAAGGCAAATGGTATGTTGGCCTTCATTGCGAGAGGTTTTGAGTACAGGAGCAGGGATGTGTTGTTGCAGTTGTACAGGGCGTTGCTGAGACCACACCTGGAATATTGTGTGCAATTTTGTATCCTTTTCTGAGGAAGGATGCTCTTGCTCTTGAGGGAATGCAGCGAAGGTTTATCAGGCTGATTCCGGGTCTTACGAATGAGGAGAGATCAACTAGGTTGGTATTGTTTTCGCTAGAGTTCAGACGAATGAGGGGGGATCTCATTGAGACTTCTAAAATTCGAAAAGGACTTGACAGGGTAGATGCAGAGAGGATGTCCCCGATGGTGGGTGTATCCAGAAGCAGGCATCACAGTATGAGGATTCTGGGTAGATGATTTAGGACGGAACTGAGGAGACATTTCTTCACCCAAAGAGTGGTGAGCCTGTGGAATTCATTACCACAGGAAGTTGTTGATACCAAAATATTGAATGTATTCAAAAGGTGACTAGATATAGCGCTTGGGGTGAATGGGATCAAAGGTTATGGGGAGAAAGCAGAATTAGGCTATTGAGTTGGATGATCAGCCATGATCGTGAAGAATGGTGGAGCAAGCTCGAAGGTCCAATTGGCCTCCTCCTGCTCGTATCTTCTATGTTTCTATGTTTCCCCATCTTTGTAATCGCTTTCAGCTCTATAACCCTCTGAGTCCTCCACATTTCTCCAAATTCTTCAGCATCTCCCATTTTAATTATTCCAACATTGGCAGCTGTGCCTTCAGCTGCCCTCAAAGTCTACTTAGAACTGACGGTGCTGAGTATTTGACCTCACATCACTCAAAGGAATGTTTGCAGAAGCAGCAGACAATATAAACACCACAATGTATTGCTCAACTGAGAAAGCCATGAACAGAAATACAGCACACAGAATCGAGCTCGCGTCCCTCAGACCTGGTCTCTGCTCCCTTTCTGCTACACCCATCTCTGACCATAGCCTTCATGAATTCACATGTAGCTATTTCAAGGTTACAACCTTATCTCCCCTTATAGTGAATGTGCGCCCTCACTGGGAGACTGCTTCACAATGAGAGTCAGTTGGATGGTAAACCATGAGGGGGAATCAGACTGATCTAATTGAACACCTAGTCACTGACATTTTACACAAAAAAAAATAGACAACAGCTTCCATTTACAAAGCCCCTTAAACATAGTTCAATGTTGAAAAGGTCGCAAGGGGAGACTCCAGGATTTGAGCACTGAGGCTGACACTCCAGTGCAGCAGTGAGGGATTGTGCCGCTCTCAGACCGAATGTTAAACAAAGGACCCTTCTGCTCCCCCTAAGTTGAAAGATTCCATTGCCCTATTTTGAAGAGGAACATAGGATCTATCCCTGGTGTCTGACAATGTTAATTCATTAGTCAACACCATTAAAAAACAGAATATCTGGTCATTCTTATGTTGCTGTTTATGGGAGCTTCCTGTGCACGTATTGTCCATCACATTTTGTGTGTTACCACAGTCACCACACGTTAAAACTACTTCATTGGCTGTAAATTGCTTTGGGACATTGTGTGGTCATGAAAGGCTTGAAATAATGAGATGTTTAGCCTTTTCCAGGTGGTTACAGAGATATGGGGATGGAAAGTCTTAGAGCAATTTGAAAACACAGGAAACATTTAGCTCCCAACACACAGAGAGAACTGAACATTCACAGTCCACAGAATAATAACCAGCTCCCAACACACACACACAGAACTCAACACCAGGAAATCAGCAAGAATCCTCAGACACTCTGCACCTCCCAGAGAATTACACCTCACCTTCTCATATTCAGGGATGAGCCATCAATAAAACTCAGCCTGGGAATCAGAAGGGAAATGCTTCCAACAAACACACTCAATAGCCAACACACAGCTCCAGTCAAACAGTTCAGCACAAAGCACTGAGTAAACAGCTCTCTCAGCTGGATCTTCTCACACAGCATAAGGGACATTTCCACCCCTGATTGCCCACAGGATAGTCAGACTGCCTGAAGATTGGTGTGGATATTATGGGATACAATTTGTATAAAAGCTGCTCCTTCACTCACCACCTCCTCACTTGGTTTTCAGTCCCTATAGGAAGTGAACCAGCTCTGGAAGAGGAAGAGGAGAGAACGGGCTGTGTGGGTGGGCTCTCTGATTGACGTCTCTCACAGTCAATCCAAATATTTCTGCAGCAACATGAGTTTCCTGAAGCTTGGAACCTGACCGGTGAAATGGAGGTGACTTTGAGCAGCAGATCAGGTGGGGATTTAAGCATGACAGTGTCCCAACTGAATAAAACCTCACTTATTGCAGATGCTGTCTCAGTTCCCCTGGTAAATGTTTGACAGAGATTTCTAGTGTGGGAATAGCATTCTTCACCCTCAGAGGCTTTCAAACTGACAACATCAGTGTGGGATGTGTTTGACAGCAGATCAGAGAAGGAAGACCCACAGCATTCAATACAGCGTTGATGTGCACTGGTGGGATCAGTACATCCACAGGAGGGAGAGTCACAAGAGGACGGGACACAGGAGCAAGGGTCACAGAAGAGAAGAATAGAGGGACAAACAGAGGGGTAAAAAAAGATTGACTCCAGTTCTGGGATTGACTCTTGAGTGTGTTAACCCCTCATTTGCTCTTGGTGCATAATGGGGGAGTCACCAGGTTCGAGAACAGTGGAAACAGTAGATGTGGAGAATATACTGATGGTGGTAGAGACAAAAAAAAACTACAGATGCTAGAATCCAAGGTAGACAAACAGGAGGCTGGAAGAACACAGCAAGCCAGGCAATCCTGAAGAAGGGTAATACCAAAACGGTGACTTCTCCTTTCCTCAAGATGCTGCCTGGCTTGCAATGTTCTTCCAGCCTTCTGTTTGTCTGCTGATAATGGTAGTTGACTTTATGTTAAACATTATTTTGTGTAACTCACGAGCTGCCTGTGTCACTACAGTCTCCACCACACATGCTGCAGAGGAAGACAGTAAGATCAAAATGTACAGGATTCGCTGACCTGTTTTCTTTGGGCTATCTACACAATTCTTTCAATTTCTGCTCGGCTCTTCCAAACAGTAAGCCTGCACAGGTTATGGCTGTCAGCCATTGTCTTTTCTGACACATTGTCAGTTCCTCTAACTTTATTTCATTTACACTGTAGCAGACATATGATGCCCAGGAGGTCATGACCTAATGGCCAGTTCATTGTACAGAAAGTCTTTGGGTATACAGTTATCATCGATCAGAGAAACATGGTTGATTTATACAGACGCTATGGGCTCAGTATTGTGGGAATGCTGATAGAATTAGAAGCCTCCTCTCAAGAGACACTGAAAATGCATCTGAGACAGTGAATGTACAAACTGTTCAGCCTTTGAAATAGACCACAGCTGACAATAACTTCTAAATTTCTGTTTGATTCAGTTTCTAAGGGGTCATTCCCAGGGTTGTGTTTTTCCTCCTGCAAACTGGCAATCTGAAAGTTTGATTTGATTTAAAATGGTCACTAGTTAGAACTGCAGATGTCAGCGTTGTTGTTGTGTCTGGGTTTCTGAAGCTGTGAAAGGTGGTAAAGTCCCTGGTGTCAGGAGAAGTGAAACTGATGGAGAAACATGTGTTGACTTCAACAGCCAGGAACCTCCTACAGACTAGGTACTGATAGATGATCCCCATGTCAAGTAAACATCCAAACATCCTAAATCCCACCTGCTCAAGTACAGTCATACTCTGGAACAACCATCTACTATCTGAAAATCCCTGGTATTCCTGTGAAACTGAGCTGCAATGCACCATCCCACCTCTAGAGGAGCTGTAACAAAATCAGAAATTTTGCCCGGAGAAACTCAGCAGAAAACAGAGTTAAACATTGAATCCAGTGACCCCTTTCAGAACTGAGAGTAGCTAGGAAAAGGTTGTATTTTTGCTGATGAGAGGGGATTTTTTTGGGGGGTGGGGAGTGCATGGATAGATGGAAACTGAGCCCAGACAGAAAAAAAATAGGCAAGGAATTATTGATAGCAAGTTAGGGAAGAAGAAAAACTAGATATGTGATAATGGGGACTATGATAGGGTAAACACATGTTGGCTGTGCTGAAAGAAATCCATATCATGGAAGCCTGAGGTGTGGGGGTAGATAAAAGATCTGAAAAAAGGTGTCCATACTGTAAAATTTTTAAACTTGATGTTGAGTCCTGAAAGCTGGAAGGTCCCCAAGCGAAGATAAGAAGTTGATCTTCCAGCTTAAGTTGAGCTTCACTGGAGCACTGGAGCAGGCCTGAGACAGAAATATTGGTGTGAGAACGCAGTGGTCTGTTGAAGTGGTAGGCAATTGGAAGCTTGGAGTTATTTTTGCAGACAGAATGTAGGTGTTCTGCAATGCAACGGGTCGGCAACAGCCTAGTGCTTTTATCGTTGGACTGTTAATCCAGAGGATGGGTTTGAATCCCGCCATTGGCAGATGGTGGAATTTGAATGCAATAAAAACCTGCAATTCAGGGTCTAATGATAACTATGAAACTATAATTGATTGTTGGGGGGTGGGGGTGGGGGGAGGTGGGGAAAACCTTCTGGCTCACTGATATCCTTGAGGAAACTGCCATCCTTACTTGGTCTGGACTACGTGTCACTCTAGACCTACAGCAATGTGGTTGACTCTGAACCGCCCTCTGGAATTGGCAATAAATGCTGGCCTAACCAGTGACTACCCCATCCCGTGAATGAATTTTTAAAAAATGTTCATCCAGTCTACATTTCATCTCCCCGATGTAGAGCAGATCTTTAGGTGAGCTGTGTCTTGGGGAAGCACTACTTGTCCAGGTCCTCTTCCCAAACACAGCATCCAATTTGATTAAGATCAATGATACAAGAGTGTCTGAATGAGTGAGGTAGGGGAGTCTTGACCCTGATCTGGGGTGTGAGTGATGCTCCAGGGGCAATTTAGACGGAGCTTGCCTCTGTCTCAAATCTGTGCTGTCCCTTCTGTTTGAGTGTTTGATGGGACAATGTCAATGTGGAGAAGTTATTCCATGCTGTTGGTGGGTGAACTCCAATCTCCAAGATTCAGCGTAAACCCGTCCAGGTGGAAAGAATAGTCAAAGTTCACAACTCCTCTTTTTAATACTTTATTGTAACATTCAAAAACTTAGAAATATCTGTATCCTGCTCCCCCTCCAAGTTAAATCATTAGAAAACTCATAAACTCTGTTCCTAGAACATCTGAGCCAATTCTCGCTGTTAATCCTTGAAATGCTGCTTCTGAAAAGTTGCTGCTTCAATTCCCGCTGTTCCTTTAGCTTCATTGTCCTGTTTGAATTAATTCAATCCCCTTATTAAACTGATTTTCTGAGCAGCTCTATACTGTGCAGTGGGGTCACTGCTGTCTGCTTTTACTGTTGTCTGCTTCTGCTCTTACTGCTCTCTGCGACTATTACCATCTGCTCTTACAACCACTCTTACTGCTAAACTCACATTTCATAAAACCAGCAAAAACATAACACCCGTGACAATGATCACCACAAATCTCTACCTAAATCTGTGTCATCTTACACATTGTAACAATTCCACATCCTGGTACATGACCAGTCCATTAACACAGGATTGTACATTGCTGTACCTTCTCTTTGAGCATTTAATGCGGCAGTGTCAAGGTGTTCAGACCCTCACAGCCCTCTGGCTGAAAAAAAAAACACTCAGCTCCCCTCTAATCCTTCCATCAATTACTTTCAATCTCTCCTCCCTAATTATTAACATTCCTGCTCAGGGAAGTAAGATTGAAACAATCCTATCAGCGGCATCTGCCACTTCCTTCCCTTCCACTAACCTCACCTTGGAGAAACCTCCATTAACACTCATCTGTCTTAGCCCTGAACTCAGTCTTTCTCCTTTCTCTCCCAGCTCCCTTTAAGTCCTCACCAAACTCATACTGTCTGAAGAACCATTTCCCCATCTTTCTTTCTCCTGTGCATGTGCCGATCCCACTACTACATGTCATCACTGCCATGGTCTTCCTCTTCTGATCTGCTGTCAAACAAATTCAAGGACACACATCCCACACTGATGTTGTCAGTTTGAAAGCCTCTGAGGGTGAAGAATGCTATTCCCACACTAGAAATCTCTGTCAAACATTTACCAGGGAAACTGAGACTGCAGCTGCAATAACGGCACAAATCATTGCGAATGAATATGATTTGGTAGCCATTACGGAGACATGGTTACAGGACGGTCACGACTGGGAGTTAAATATCCAAGGGTACCAGACTATTCGGAAGGACAGACAGGAAGGTAAGGGAGGTGGTGTAGCTCTGATATTCAAGGACGCCATCAGGGCGGTGCTGAGAGATGATATAGGTTCTATGGAGAATGAGGTTGAATCCATTTGGGTGGAAATTAGAAATTCTAAGAGGAAAAAGTCACTGATAGGCGTAGACTATAGGCCACCAAATAATAACGTCACATTGGGGCGGGCAATAAACAAAGAAATAACCAACGCCTGTAAAAATGGTACGGCAATTATCATGGGGGATTTTAATCTACATGTAGATTGGTCGAACCAGCTCGGTCAGGGTAGCCTTGAGGAGGAGATCGTTGAGTGTATCCGTGATAGTTTTCTTGAACAGTATGTAATGGAACCGACAAGGGAGCAAGCTATCCTAGATCTGGTCCTGTGTAATGAGACAGGAATAATTAATGACCTCATAGTTAGGGATCCTCTTGGAAGGAGTGATCGCAGTATGGTTGAATTTAGAATACAGATGGAGAGTGTGAAGATAAAATCCAATACCAGGGTCCTGTGCTTGAACAAGGGGAACTACAATAGAATGAGGGAGGACTTGGCTAAAGTAGACTGGAAACAAAGATTTTATGGTGGGACAGTTGACGAACAGTGGAGGACTTTCAAAGCAATTTTTCAAAGTGCTCAGCAAAAGTATATTCCAATGAAAAGGAAGGACTGTAAGAAAAGGGGTAATCTGCCATGGGTGTCTAAAGAAATAAGGGAGGCTATCAAATTGAAAGAGAAGGCATACAAAGTGGCCAAAAACAGCATGAAACTAGAAGATTGGGAAAACTTTAAAGGTCAACAGAAAGCCATAAAAAGAGCTATAAAGAAAAGTAAGATAGAACATGAGAAAAAACTAGCACAGAATATAAAGACAGATAGCAAAAGTTTCTATAAATATATAAAATGAAAAAGAGTGGCTAAAGTAAACGTTGGCCCTTTAGGGGATGAGAAGGGGAATTTAGTTATGATATAAGATGAAATGGCCGAGGCATTGAACAGGTATTTTGTATCGGTCTTCACAGTGGAGGACACTAATAACATGCCAGTAATTGACAAAGAGACTAAGGTAGGTGAGGACCTGGAAACAATCATTATTACGGAAGAGGTAGTGTTGGGCAAACTAATGAAGCTAAGGATTGATAAGTCTCCTGGCCCTGATGGAATGCATCCCAGGGTACTAAAAGAGATGGCGGGAGAAATAGCAGGTGCGCTGGCGGTAATTTTCCAAAATTCGCTGGACTCTGGGGCAGTCCCAGCAGATTGGAAAATAGCAAATGTGACGCCATTGTTTAAAAAGGGAAGTAGACAAAAGATGGGGAATTATAGACCGGTTAGCTTAACCTCTGTAGTGGGGAAGATGCTTGAGTCTATTATCAAGGAAGAAATAGCAAGGCATCTTCATAGAAATTGTCCCGTTGGACAGACGCAGCATGGGTTCATGAAGGGCAGGTCATGCTTGACAAATCTTTTGGAATTCTATGAAGACATTACGAGCGAGGTGGACAATGGGGACCCAGTGGATGTGGTGTACCTAGACTTCCAAAAGGCCTTCGACAAGGTGCCGCACAAGAGGCTACTGCATAAGATAAGGATGCATGGCATTAAGGGTAAAGTATTAGCATGGATAGAGGATTGGTTGACTAACAGGAAGCAAAGAGTGGGGATAAATGAGTGCTATTCTAGCTGGCAGTCAGTGACTAGTGGTGTGCCTCAGGGATCGGTGTTGGAACCGCAATTATTTACAATTTATATAGATGATTTGGAGTTGGGGACCACGTGTAGGGTGTCAAAGTTTGCAGATGACACTAAGATGAGTGGCAGAGCAAAGTGTGCAGCGGACTGTGAAACTTTGCAGAGGAACACAGATACATTGAGTGAGTGGGCAAAGGTCTGGCAGATGGAATACAATGTAAATAAATGTGAAGTCATACATTTTGGTAGGAGTAATAGTAAAAAGGGTTATTACTTGAATGGTAAAAAGGTGCAGCATGCTGCTATGCAGAGGGACCTGGGTGTCCTTGTGCATGAATCACAGAGGGTAGGTCTGCAGGTACAACAAGTAATTAGGAAGGCAAATGGAATTTTGTCCTTCATTGCTAAAAGGATTGAAATTAAAAGCAGAGAGGTTATGTTGCAGCTGTACAAGGTGCTGGTGAGGCCACACCTGGAGTACTGTATGCAGTTTTGGTCTCCTTACTTGAGAAAGGATGTATTGGCACTGGAGGGGGCGCAAAGGAGGTTCACTAGGTTGATTCCGGAGTTGAGGGGGTTGGCTTATGAGGAGAGACTGAGTAGATTGGGATTATATTCATTGGCATTCAGAAGATTGAGGGGGGATCTTATAGACACATATAAAATTATGAAGGGAATAGATAAGATAGAAGTAGAGAGGATGTTTCCACTGGCAGGTGAAGCTAGGACAAGAGGGCATAGCCTCAAGATTAGAGGGAGCAGATTTAGGACTGAATTGAGAAGGAATTTCTTCACCCAGAGGGTTGTTAATCTATGGAATTCCTTGCCCAGTGAAGTAGTTGATGCTACTTCAGTAAACGTTTTTAAAGAAAAGGTAGATTTTTTTTGAACAATAAAGGAATTAAGGGTTACGGTGAGAACGCGGGTAAGTGGATCTGAGTCCACGAAAAGATCAGCCATGATCTTATTGAATGGCGGAGCAGGCTCGAAGGGCCAGACGGCCTACTCCTGCTCCCAGTTCTTAAGTGAGGTTCTAATCAGATGGGACAATGACAAGTTTAAATCGCATGGAAAAGAACAAGAACCAAGAAAATTACAGTACAGGAACAGGCCCTTCACCCCTCTGAACCTGCACCAACATGCTGCCCGTCACTACTAATACCCCCTATCATTCCGGGGACCATCTCCCTCTATTCCCATCCTATTCATGTATTTGTCAAGACACCCTTTAAAAGTCACTATAGTATCTGCTTCCACAACCTCCCTCGGCAGCGAGTTCCAGGCACCCAACACCCTCTGTGTAAAAAACTTGCCTTGTACATCACCTTTAAACCTTGCTCCTCACACCTTAAACCCATGGCCCCTGGTAATTGACTCTTCCACCCTGGGAAAAAGCTTCTGACAGTCCAGTCTGTCCATGCCCTTCATAATCTTGCAGACCTCTATAATGTCGACCCTCAACCTCCATCGTTCCAGTGGGAACAACCCAAGTTTCTCCAACCTCTCCTCATAGCTAATGCCCTCCATACCAGGCAACATCCTGGTAATTTTTTTCTGTACCCTCTCCAAAGCCACCACATCCTTCTGGTAGTGTGATGACCAGAATTGAACACAATATTCCAAATGCGGCCTAACTGAGGTTCTATAAAGCTGCAACATTACCTGCCAGTTTTTAAACTCAATGCCCTAAGCCGATGAAGGCAAGCATGCCATATGCCTTGTTGAGTACCTTTTCCACCTGCATTGCCACTTTCAGTGACCTGTGTACCTGTACACCCAGATTCCTCCCTTAGGGGTTCTGCCATTTACTGTATATTTTCCATCTGGATTAGACCTTCCAAAATGCATTACCTCACATTTTTCCGGATTAAACTCCATCCGCCATCTCTCTGCCTGAGTCACCAACCGATCTATATCCTGCTGTATCCTTTGACAGTCCTCATCGCTATCTGCAATTTCACCAACCTTTGTGTCATTGGCAAACTTACTCATCAGACCAGTTACATTTTCCTCAAAATCATTTATATATATTACAAACAGCAAAGGTCCCAACACTGCTCCCTGAGGAATGCCACTAGCCTCAGCCCTCCATTCAGAAACGCACCTTTCTCCTGCTACCCTCTGTCTTCTATGACCGAGCCAGTTTTTTATCCATCTTGCAAGCTCACCTCTGACCCCGTGCGACTTTACCTTCTGTATCAGCGTGCCATGAGGGACCTTGTCAAAGGTCTTACTGAAGTCCATGTAGACAACATCCACTACCCTACCCTCATCGATCATCTTCATCACTTCCTCAAAAAACTCAACCAAGTTAGTGAAAAACAACCTCCCCTTCACAAAACCATGTTGCCTCTCGCTAATACGCTCAGTGATTTCCAGGTGGGAGTAAATCCTGTCCTGAAGAATCCTCTCCAATAATTTCCCTACCACTGACGTAAGGCTCACCGGCCTGTAATTAGCTGGATTATCCTTGCCACCCTTCTTAAACAAAGGAACAATATTGGCTATTCTCCAATCCTCTGGGACCTCCCCTGTAGCCAGTGAGGATACAAAGATTTCCCTCAAGGCCCCAGGAATTTCCTCCCTTAACTCTCACAGTATTCTGTGGTATATCCAATCAGGCCCTGGGGACTTGTCTACCTTAATGTTCTTAAGACCCCCAATACCTCCTCCCTTTTGATCTCAACATGACCCAAACTATCTACATACCCTTCCCCAGACTCATCATCAACCAAGTCCTTCTACATGATGAATACTGACGCAAAGTACTAATTTAATACCTCACCCATTTCCTCAGGCTCCACACATAAATTCCCTTCCCTGTCCTTGAGTGGGCCAACCCTCTGTCTGGCTACCCTCTTACTCTTTATACATGTATAAAAAGCCTTGGGACTTTCCTTAATCCTGTTGGCCAATGACTTTTCATGACTCCTTTTAGCCCTCCTGACTCCTTGCTTAAGTTTCTTTCGACTTTCCTTGTATTCCTTTGTGCGTTCCCAGCCTCCTAACCTTGATAAATGCTTCCTTTTTCTTTTTGATTAGACTCACAATATCTCTCATTATCCAAGGTTCCCTAAACTTGCCATACTTATTCTTCATCCTTACAGGAGCGTGCCAGTCCTGAGTTCCCAGCAACTTACACTTGAAAGCCTCCCACATACCATGTGGTGATTTGTCCTCAAACAACTGCCTCCAATCTACATTCTTCAGTTCCCACCTAACATTGTTGTAATTAGCCTTCCCCCAATTTAGCACCTTCACCTGACAACTACACCGATCTTTATCCATCAGTACCTTAAAACTTACTGAATTGTGATCACTGTTGCCGAGCTGCTCCCTACTGAGGCATGGAAAGGATGACCTTCAGAAATGATGGCATTCAGCTTATTGCGAAATACTAAAATAAATTTGCCTCATCAACTACAGCACCTTCTCTAGTTGCAGTGTCAACCTAGTAGGGCATTTTGTATGTGATCAAGATGGCAAATTCTCTACACAGGTCTCATGTCACCAACTGATCTGACTACTCATAAGTGTGTTGAATGTTTGCACCCTGACTGCCTTCTCATTGTCAGCTCTGGCAATGATTTGACAGCAGTATTAAAGTGAAATTGTGGTTTCCTGTCATTTCACTTTGGTTTTGTCACTCACGACAATTCTCACTTCTGGTCTTTTGAAGTTTTGCACCTTGTAGCGAAATTTGTTTGATTTGAGCAAGATGCCTGTCTGTCAGAGTCAGTTTCTCTGCTGGGTTGATGATTTCCAGAGCATGTTATGCTGTTGCTTCTTGCTGAATCTGAAATATTGCACACTGTGTACCAGCATCAACTTCCTTCAGAAAGTGCAGATCTCATCAGCATGTCAGTGATGTTCATCTGCTTCCCTTGCTTGTACTTCACTTCCCAGAGATATCTACGAAAGCAAAATCACATCCTGTGCAATATTTGGAGCAGTTAGATGTGGTTTGAGAAAGATGTTTTGAAACTGCTTATGGTCAGACTCTACCATCACTTTCTGTCTCCCAAACAGGTACTGGTTGAAAAGTTCCAATTCAAAGAAAATAGCCAGACTCTCTTTCGCAATGCCTGTGTACAGTGTTGTTCAGTGTGTGTTAATGTTGTGGATACAAACACAACTAGTTGTCCTCACTGCATGAGGGTTGCTCCAAGTTTGTTGCAGTGCTATGACTGAGCGAATACTAGCCAAGAACATGCTTGGATAGTTCCTGTATGGGTTTGCTAATGATCCTGGAAGTCCAACATTTGTATGATGGCTGTATTACAGAACTCCCACTGGTAGGGTACCCCCCCAATGTAAATACACTGATGGGCCAGGAGCTTCACTGACTCTGTGAAAGCCTTGTCACAAACATCACACATGAAGAGTTTCTCTCCTGTGTAAATCCAGGTGCATTCCAAATGTTCTTACACATCAAGGAACGTTCATCACAATCTCAGAACTGAAGGGAAACTCTCCTGTATGGATCTTCTGATGGAGCAGGAAATGCGATGAATCCAAGAATGATTTGTCACACACTTCACATGTGAAAGGTTTCTCCCTTGTGTGAATCCTCTGATGTCGCAGGAGTCTCGATGAAACTGAGAATGATTTGCTACATATATCACATGAGAATGGCATCTCCCCAGTATGAGCAGTTTGGTGTCTACGAAGGTGCAAAGAAGTCAAGAATGATTTGTCACATACATCACATGTAAATGGCTTTACCCCTGTGTGAATGAGTTGGTGTCTGTGGAAGCTCGATAAGTCTGAGAATGACTTATCACACACCTCACATGTGAATGGTTTCTCCCCTGTGTGAATGCGTCTGTGCACGTGGAGGGTTGAGGTCTGTGAGAATGATTTGTCACACACCTCGCACACAAAAGGCTTCTCCCCCGTGTGAGTGCGTTTGTGTCTGCGAAGGGTTGATGATTCTGAGAATGATTTGTCACACACCTCGCACTTGAATGGTTTTTCTCCTGTGTGAATGCGCTGGTGTACATGGAGGGTTGATGACTCTGAAAACACTTTGTCACATTCATCGCACTTGAATGGTTTCTCCCCTGTGTGAATCCTCTGATGGAGCAGGAGACCTGATGAATCTGAGAAGGATTTGTCACACACATCACACATGAACGGTTTCCTCTCTGTGTGGACAGGTTGATGTCTGCGGAGGTGTGATGAATTTGAGAAAGATTTGTCACATAGCTCACACGTGAATGGTTTCTCCCCATTGTGAATGCGTTGGTGTACCCTCAAGGTCGATGACTCTGAGAATGATTTGTCACACACCTCACATCTGAACGGTTTCTCTCCTGTGTGTATGCGTTGGTGTCTGCGGAGGGTTGATAAGTCTGAGAATGATTTGTTGCACACCTCACAGGTAAATGGTTTTTCCCCCGTGTGGATGCGTTGGTGTATGCGGAGGGTTGATGTCTGTGTGAATGATCTGTCACACACCTCACACACAAAAGGTTTCTCCCCGGTGTGAATGCGTTGGTGCCTGCGGAGGATCCATGAATCTGAGAATGATTTGTCACACGCCTCACATATGAAGGGTTTCTCCCCTGTGTGAACCTGCTGGTGAACACGGAGGTGCGATGACTCTGAGAATGATTTGTTATACATTTCGCAGGTAAATGGTTTCTCTGTGTGAATGCGCTGGTGTTTCACTAGGCCTGGTAATTGTGTAAAGCCCCTGTTACACACATCACATACAAATGGTTCCTTGCCAGTGTGAACATTCTGGTGTCTCACAAGTGTCGATATCTTTGAAAAACTTTGTTTGCACAACTCACACTTGAATTATTTCACTTCCATAAAGTTGCCCTAATTTTAACAATTGTTCAGTTGTGTGTGGGTGATTTTTATGTTGCCCTCCTCACACACGTCCACTTGAACAGCCTCTCATCTGTAGGAATGAGTCAGTGATTCATGAGGCTTGATGGATGATTGAAGCTCTCACCACACTTGGAGCCCACTCACACTTCTTCCCAGCCTCACCCTGACCGATCACCCACTGCCGAACCTTCAGAAAGGTTGGTTCTGATTGAAGGCTCCACACCACTGGCCAGTTTCAGATCTGATGATATGTCAAAGCTCCCCTGACCCGACTGATTTCCAGATGATGGTTTCACTGCCCAACCTTCTCTGTGTTGAGCAATGCTGTGAAGGGACTGGATGTCTTCCCACAGTTGTGCAGTTGTTCCTTGGGTGAAGGTCAAGATCTATCTGCAGTGTCTATCCTTTCTGTATTTTCTGGTGTAGCATGCTGTAATTCTTCTGTAAAACATGAAAAGGAAACATGATTTCCTCCAACTCTCCATTCTCCTTTGCTGAAGGGGCTTACTCCTCAGTTAGAGACTGTTCCACAGCGAGTGACAATTCTTCAGTGTGGGAATTAGACTGCATCAGATGCAATTCCTTTCTTTTTTCTCATTAATTGTAAGTTCAAAACCTGCTGCCTTTCATTGCTCTCCATCTGACAACATCACACTTTTAAAATTCTCATCCCTGATTTCAAGCCCCTCCATGACCTCACAGCTCTACATCTGTCATTTCTGCCAGCCTTACAACCCTCTAAGATCTCAACACTTCTCCAAATTCAGGTCTCTTGATCATCTCTCGTTTAAATCATTCCACCATTGGTGGCTATGCCTTCAGTTGCTGAGGCCCCAACCTCAAGAATTCCCTCCTGAAGCCTCTCTGCTTTGCCACCTCACCTTTCTCCTTTAATTCCCTCCTTCTGACATGCTTCTGCTCAGGTTTATGGTAATCTCTCCTAATATCTCTTCATGTGCCTTGGTGTTAGTGATTGGTCAATGACTACACCCTAAATGATTATGACAAGATCAATGTCGAGAGTGAGTGATCTCAGGGACTGCATCTGCTCTCTCAGGGGTGATGTCCATTTCTGTGGAAGTCAAGTTTTTGACCAACACCTTTCTTCTTGATCAAAGCTGCCTGTTGTATCACAGGGATTCATCTTGAATTCATTATTATCCCGGGAAAGTTCACAATGAGCTATTAACCAGTATGAGTAAAGATTAAATCCTCCGAGTTAGGAACTTGCAAAAATTGCTTTGAGATTTTAGTGAAATAATATTGAACTGATGCAAGCCCAAATTTTTGTATCAACCCAGAAGAACAAACAGTCTTCAAACCTCAATGTCCACTCAGAAGTGATGTTGTTGAGTATTTAACCTCACTTCAGACAAAGAAATGTTTGCAGAAGCAGCAGATGTTGTAAACACCACAGTGTATTGGTCTAGTGAGATACCCATGAACTGAAATACAGCACCCAGGTTACAGCCTTCACCCTTTAAGACCAGATTGGTCTTAGAATGACCAACACCTTGAGGAGATCTCTGCTCCCTCTGTGCCACTTGCTTCCCTCCATGAACTTGTGTAGCCATTCCTACCCTGCTCTGGTGCCATTTCGAGGTTATAACCTTGAGGGTAAGTCTACCCCTTCACTGGGAGACTGCTTTACAGTTGGACGGTAATCTATGAGGGAGAATCATGCTGCTCTGACTAAATGCATAATCACTGTCTAACATTTTACAGAATAATAGACAACAGCTTGCATTTACATTGCAACTTGAAAATAGTTCAAAGTCCAAAAGATGCGAAGGGGAGATTTCAGGATTTGAGCACTCCAGTGTAATAATGAAACCCATCTTTCAGAGAGAATGTTAAACAGAAGTCCTTTCTGCTCTCTCTAACCTGAGTCTAAAAGATCCAATGGCACTATTTGAAAGCAAAACGGGTGGTTATCCCTGATCCCTGGTGTCTGGCAGTGTTAGTTCAAATCAACACCACGAAAAAGCAAATGAACTGGTCGTTCTCATGTTGTGTTTATGGGAGCTTGTTTTGCACACATTGACAATCACATTTTCTATGTCACCACGGTGACCACACATCAAACTACTTCACTGATTGCAAATTGCTTTGGGACATTGTGCGGTCGTCAAAGACATTGTTTTTGAATCACATACAGAACTCAACACCAGGAAATCGGTAAGAATCCTCAGATACTCTGCACCTCCCAGATAATTACACCTCACCTTCTCATATTCAAGAATGAGCCATCAACAAAACACAGACTGTAAATCAGAGGGAAATGCTTCCAACAAACACTCAATATCCAACACACAGCTCCAGTCAAACAGTTCAGCACAAAGCACTGAGTAAACAGCTCTCTCAGCTGGATCTTCTCACACAGCATAAGGGACATTTCCACCCCTGATTGCCCACAGGATAGTCAGACTGCCTGAAGACTGGTGTGGATATTATGGATACAATTTGTATAAAAGCTGCTCCTTCACTCACCATCTCCTCACTTGGTTTTCAGTCCCTATAGGAAGTGAACCAGCTCTGGAAGAGGATGGGCAGAGTGGGTGGGCTCTCTGATTGACGTCTCTCACAGTCAATCCAAATATTTCTGCAGCAACATGAGTTTCCTGAAGCTTGGCAAACTGACCGGTGAAATGGAGGTGACTTTGAGGCCTCAATAGTGACCCTATTCCTGAGTGTACCTGTGCTTGGAGAATTATTGAGATTCATAGATGAACTCTTTGACTGCAGGTGAGACCTGGGGAGTGATTTCTCACTCCTTGCCAGATCTTTCTGTTGGGCATCTTGTCCATCTGCTGATGCCATACTCCATGTCTACTCTTTCTGCTCTCTCTAAGCTCAGTGTAAAAGATCTCATGACAGTATTGGAAGCAGAATGTGGTGTCTGGCAACGTTAGTTTATAAATCTGGGGGAGGCAATGGCCGAGTGGTACTATTGCTGGACTGTTAACCCAGAGGCTCAGATAATGTTTTAGGGACACAAGTTCAAATCCTGCCATGGCAGATGGTGGAGTTTGAATTCAATATATGTCTGGAATTGAAGCGTCTAATGCTGACCATGAATCAATTGTTGGTTTTTATTATTTGTTCAGAGGATGAGGGCGTCGCTGGCTAGGCAGCATTTATTGCCCAGGTTTAATTGCCCAGGAGACAATTAAGAGTCAACAACATTGCTGTGGGTCTGGAGTCACATGTAGGCCAGATGGTTTCCTTCCCTAAAGGACATTAGTGAACCAGATGGGTTTTTCCCAACAATCAACAATGGATTCATGGTCATCAATAGACTGTTAATTCCAGACATTTATTGAATTCAAATTCCACTCTCTGCCATGGCAGGATTTGAACCCATGTCCCTAGAACATTATCTGGGTTTCTAGATTAACAGTCCAGCGATAATACCACTAGGCCATCGCCTCCTGTTGTTTTTCCTGGTTGTCTTCCTAAGTCACCGGACCCAAAACATTAACTCTGATTTTTCCTTCACAGACACTGCCAGTCCTGCTGACCTTCTCCAGCAATTTCTGTTTTTGTTCCAGGTCACTCATGCCCTGATCAGGATCAAGATTCTCCTGCTTCAGTCAGTCAGACTCTCCTGTATCCCCTTAATGTTATTGATTGGTGCGATTGGGAGCAGGACCCAGTCAAATTGGAAGTACTCCAGTCACAGCTCATTTAGTGATGGGAGGTGTACTGCCGCACAGTTTCTTTGAGGAAAACCAGGTATTTTCAGACAGTAATATAAAATAGGGATTGTGGATGCTGGTGGTCTGAAACAAAAATAGAAACTGCTGGCAAAACTCAGTAGCATCTGGCAGCATCTGTGGGAAGAAAGCAAAGTTAAGGTTTTGAGTTCAGAGACTCTTCATCAGAACCAATAGCTGCAAGGAAAATCTGATATTTATGCTGAAGGAGAGTTTGGGTGGGGACAGGAAAGTGAGGTGAGCAGATAGGTGGAAATGGACAGAGTAATATGAAAGGGGTCAATAAATAAGGGGATTATGGATGGCAGGCTAGGACAGAAGAGAAGCTGAATAAGTGATAATGAGAGCTTTTTTTTCCTTTATTCATTCATGGGATGAAGGTGTCGCTGGCTAGGCAGCATTTATTGCCGATACCTAATTGCCCAGAGGGCAGCTAAGAGTCACCCACATTGCTGTGGGTCTAAGAGTCACATGTAGGCCAGACCAGCTAAGGATGGCAATTTCCTTCCCTATAGGACATTAGTGAACCTTTGGATTTTTCTTGACAATCGGCAATGAATTCACGGTCTTAATTAATAGATTCTTAACTCCGGATATTTTATTGAACTGAAATGCCACCATCTGCCATGGTGGGATTTGAACCCAGGTCACCAGAACATTATCTGGGCCTCTGGATTAACAGTCCAGTGATAATACCACTAGGCCATTGCCTTCCCTTCAAGGGTAGTTTATACTGAAAGCAAACCATGTAATGTGACAACAGGCCTGAGATTAGGTGAAAGATCCAAGCCATAAGAGGACTGGTGTCGGGGTGGGTAAAAAACATGGAAGGATGAATCAGGCTCTAAAGTTATTGAATTCAGGCTGCAGGATCCCCAGGTGGAAAATGAGATGCTACTTTTCAAGCTTGCGCTTCAATGTCAAGTTCAACCCCCATCAATATGCA